AGCAAAACCCGACGGAGAGGGCAAACCGGACCATCAAGACAATGATTGCACAATACGCCGACGGGGACCAACGGACCTGGGACGATCTCCTCCCCGAGTTAAGCTTGGCCATAAACAGCAGCACGTCGGACACCACGGGCTTCAGCCCGGCCTTTTTGGTACTCGGACGAGAACCAAGGTTACCAGGAGCCTTGTACGACGAAGTGACCCCAGGATTAGGAAATGAACCAGAGCCTGCCCACGGGAAGGCGACACGACGGCAGGAAGTATTCAAGGTCGTACAGGAGAACATCCAACGGGCATCCCAAGAGCAGAAGAGAACATACGACCTCCGACGGCGCGAGTGGCGACCCGAACTAGGAACCCTAGTCCTCCTTCGGCAGCATCACCAATCCAAAGCCGCCGACGGTTTCGCGGCCAAGTTGGCCCCTAAGTACGACGGGCCGTACAAGGTAACCCAATTCTTATCTCCCAACATAGTTCGACTACAGATTCAACAAGGCAAACAAAGGAAAACAGCGAGTTTAGCCGACTTAAAGGCCTTCCACGGAGTGGAACACCCCGAGGAGAACCCGACGACTCTGGAGAGACCCGAATGACTTGCCGACTTCGCAAGGGCCACTTGTGGTAGCGCGCTACCGTAACGTCCTCGCCCCGTAAGGGGCGCGACCCACGAAACCGTAAGCTACGTATACATCCCCTTATGGGATTAGATAAGTACTACATCCAATGTTAACATCTTCTTACTCGCACCGCTCAAGCAGGATAGGGGGAGGGTATTAATACTTCTAGTTAAGACAGGCAGGTTCTAACCGACAGGCATTTTCTCCCTAGAATCGACAGAAGACATGAAGCGTCTAAGAGATGGAAGGCAAGCTCGGCCCCTAGGGGCAAATGGTGATACGACGGGACACCCTAGCGGAGACCAGCGGCCTGAAGTCCCGGCGCCTGCCGACGAACCGACTGCAAGCCGGACTCGCGGCTGGATCGTCAACCCCGATGGGCCATCCACCTCCCGTCAAGCCCAGTTGAGGCGGGTCGGAGAGGCGACTCTTAGACAACCGGGCTGGATGCCATGGGGTCAGCGCGCGGCAGCCATCCAAGGGTGGATCGACCAACAAACACAGGACCCGGGGACCGACGCCGAAGAGGAAGTGGAGCCCGATCGTCGCTTCGCAACCGCAGGTGTCCGCTCGGCGCCCAACCACGACGTCGCCGCCCTGAATCGCCTTTGGCTCGGGAGTTACGGGGCTGCCATAGACGACGACAATGCGACCACGGACACCGACGAGCACGAGACGATCCTGCGCGACGCTCCAAGCCTGGCGTCCACGCTGCAGTACGAAGGGAGCGGACACCCAGTGGCTCGCGGAAGCGAATGGGACTCGCCCCTTTGGGCCGAGTGGGACCTGGCCGGTCAAGGTCGAGTAGTCACCCCTCCAGCTGTACGCAACGAGGACGAATCCGGTGATGGTGCTGGGCCACACTACTCTGACGTGTCAAACGCGAGCGATGCAGGGGAAGGAGCAGGACCCCAACGCGACGACGGAGGGTCCGATTCCGGGTCCCTCATGAACCTGGAATTCGCGCCACAAGCGAACCAGCAGTGGGCACCAGCCAACCCATCGGGGTCAGCTGACATCCCGCCCACCCTCTTTGCCGCCCATGCCGGACTACCCCCACAACGTCCCGATGAGGAAGTACGCGACTTCGGCTCCGAAGAGAGCCTCCCGCTGGAGTATGGCTAGATGGCCGACCTGCTGCAAATCCTCCGACTCCACCCTACGGTAGCCGCGGTGCAGGACGACCCGGAATGGGCAGAGGCTCCCCCCGAATGGCGGACCAACGCGCCAGGGCGGCGGTTGCCCCGGGACCTCATATCCAACATCACCGTATTCTTACGCGATCGAGCCTACCGACTGGGAGTCCGGCGACTGGAGGTCCATGACGGCACCTGCTTTCGCGTAGCCGGGCTGTCAAAGTCACTCTTCGGCACCCCCGAAGTATGGAGGGGGTGTGAGGGAGCGTACGCTCCACCCACATTTTTTCCACCCATCATCTTGCCGGCATTTTCCCATTGGAGGGACCCGAACTTATTTCATTAGAATTAAGATTTTTGACTTTTTATTTTCTAGGTTTAAGCATTGACTGTTCAGTTTTAGGTTAAGGGGGAGGGGGGAAGGCCACGAAGGCCACTTGTTATTAATTTTATATTATACGGCCCGAGGGGTCTCTAAGCCCCACGTAGCTTACTATTTTCTTAAAAAGGGGGCAAGTCGCGATCACGGCGGACGCCACTGGCTTTCCAGAACCAAGACCCAACAACAACGACGCAGCAGCGGCCAAAGAGAGACGAGGAAAACAACGGGATCCAGCGAGCCGCCGGCATCGACGCAGCCACGGCAGAGAGGAAAGCGCTGACAAGATAAGCCAACAGCATCGACGCAGCAGCGGCCGAGGAGAAGCGCTGACAAGATAAGCCGACAGCATCAACGCAGCAGCGGCAGAAGAGGACCGCTGAGAACAGCAATCAAATCCAGCAACGACGCCCCAGCAGTGGAAAAGAGAGGCGAAAGTCACCGGCGCAGCTACAGACGCCAAAAGAGAGGGGAAATAACGACGCTAGCCGCCCACGCCGACGCTGGATCGGCAGAGCCAGCAGAACGCCGGCTCTGAAGCTGGGAAAACGTGGAAAAGAAGTCAGTTAGATGAGAGGCAGTCGTAGGAATCGGACGCGTTGACGGGTAAAAATCCGAGTGGCTCGCGAAAAGAAAAAGAACACACGTGGCGGACTACTTCGAGATTAGCGCGATCAGCAGGGCGCGAAGGATCCGGCATCGATACTACGCTTACGGAGAGGGGATCCTGCACCGGCGCTGCAATCCCGGGAAAGAGGAGGCTTTCGACAAGCACAAGCGTGGGAGTTCAGGGGTAAGCGAGTCTCAAGACGTGCATACGGGCTGCTGAGCGGTGCGATAGGTAGGGAACCAAAGAAGAATAAAGTGAAATGTAACGAATATAACGAAAACATAGCCTGGTCACCAACAATCTATACGCTAGGGAACCTGAATGCCCGGGGCCTCATCTTCTCCGCCCTTCCCCACGCCTCTTGCCCGAGTCTCCCTCTTTGGCTACACCCTCGTGGTGATCCGTATTCGTTCCGGATGCCCGTCGGGGCCCCCGCGTGATTCCTTCAGTAGTTCGTAGCCCAACAGGATCCTGAGGCCGCTGTCCGGCGATTGCCTAGGCGTTCTCGGTGACAACTGTTGGCGTTCCCCCCGCATGATTCCCTCCAGTAGTTTGTGACCCCGCAGTACCCCAGTAGTTCTCAGGGTCCCGAAGGCGCTGTCCGGCGATTGCCTAAGCCCTCTCGGCGATGCCTGCCCTGTATGATAAAGACTTTCGCAGTAATGTTTAGCCTGATAGTGTCCCGTGAGTGCTATCCGGCGATTGCCTAGGTACTCTCGGCGATATGCGTCGGTATTCCCGTATTCGTAGTAATTCTTAGTTCGACAGCGTCCCGTAAGTGCTATCCGGCGATTGCCTAGGCACCCTCGGCGATGCTTGTCGATATCTCCGACCCCCGTAGCAATTCTTAGTTCGGCAGTATCCCGTGAGTGCTATCCGGCGATTGCCTAGGCACTCTCGGCGATGCTTGGCGATATCTCCGACCCCCCCCCATAGCAATTCTTAGTTCGATAGTGTCTCGTAGGTGCTATCCGGCGATTGCCTAGGCACCCTCGGCGATGCTTGTCGATATCTCCGACCCCCGTAGCAATTCTTAGTTCGACAGTGTCCCGTGAGTACTATCCGGCGATTGCCTAGGTGCCCTCGGCGACGCTTGTCGATACCTCCGGCCCCGTAATAATTCTTAGTTCGACAGTGTCCCGTGAGTGCTATCCGGTGATTGCCTAGGTACCCTCGGCGATGCTCGTCGATATCTCCGGCCCCGTAGTAGTTCTTAGTTCGACAGGATCCCGAGAGCGCTATCCGGCGATTGCCTAAGCCCTCCCGGCGATGCCTGCCGATACCCCCGACCCTCGTAGTAATCCTTAGTCCGACCGGGCCCCGTAAGTGCTGTCCGGCGATAGCCTAGGTGCTCACGGTGGTACTTGTCGGTATCCCCGCATAGCAAAGACCTTCGTAGTAGTTCTTAGTTCGACAGGATCCCGGAAGCGCTATCCGGCGATTGCCTAAGCCCTCCCGGCGATGCTTGCCGATATCTCCGACCCTCGTAGTAATTCTTAGTCCGACGGGGCCCCCGTGAGTGCTGTCCGGCGATAGCCTAGGTACTCGCGGTGGTATTTGTCGGTATCCCCGCATAGCAAAGACCTTCGTAGTAATTTTTAGTCCGACAAGGTCCCGTGAGTGTTATCCGGCGATAGCCTAGACACTCTCGGTGATACTTGTTGGTTTCCCCGCATAGCACAGACCTCCGTAGTAGTTCTTAGTTCGACGGGATCCCGAGAGCGCTATCCGGCGATTGCCTAAGCCCTCTCGGCGGTGCCTGTCGATATCTCCGACCCTCGTAGTAATTCTTAGTCCGACAGGGCCACGTAAGTGCTGTCCGGCGATTGCCACTGCCACGCCCCGTACTGTTCCCTTTCATCTCGGTCGCTCCCGTCTGGGGATTGCCTCCCTGTCCCCATCGACGGCCCAGAGCTCGGAGTCCCGGCAAATTATAAATATTGCTGTAATTTCGACCCTGGAGTAGACTGAGATATGTACCCCAGCCCAGGATCGCTTCCTTACAGTACCAAAAGTAGATAAAAGGCGCCAAAAAGGGAAAAACGTACAGATTAATATACTCTTAACTATGATTGGAGGCGTCGTAAATTTATCTGGAGGTAGATTTCGGTAGGGAGTGCATGTGCAGCTTGGAAAGATTCTGAAAAAAGGGTTCTCAGAAATAGAAATGAGACCGGAAATATGGGATATAGCATTTAGTACTTTCTTAGCATTCTGTCAGGGGAAAAATCAAAAAATTTCCCCCCCAAACACGCACAAGCAAAACACACACTCGACATCAGCAGACCAATGAATGGCACTGATGATAATGGCCCGCATGCAGCATTACCATCGTCCTTCGTGTCGCTAAGGTCCGTTGGTACCACGACGTTCGAGGCCAAGACGGTGTCAGCTTCTGAGGACGATCAGTTCTACGGCTGGCAGCTCCTTTTCTACTCGATCCGGCGAAGCATACGCAAGAAGGCAGACCTGCTGCTGGCACTGGCCCATTTCCTCGTCACCAAGCAGTATCATCTCCGGAGCGTGGACCCGGAGCACGGGCAGGGCATCAGGATGAGCGCCGGGAGTAGACTAATTCCGGTGGATCCCGGCAGAGGTGGCAGCGAGTTGCTGCCAATGCACTGGAACCGGGAGTCCTCTAAGTATCGGCTGCACTATGTGGACGAGTTGGACCACCAGTACGTCTTGCTGGCTAGGCTTACGCATCAGGATCTGGTGATCAATCTGCAGAACTGGACAAGCAAGCGAATGTCCATCACCTGCCTGCAGCCGGAGGACCTGGTCCAGACCCTCCACAATTCAGATTTGGGCCAGTGCATTCCCACCGCCCATCAGGTTATGCATCATTTGCGCGTTTATCTGGTGAATCCGGTGGTACGGGGCCGCAGAAAGGGCTTACCTGAGTCCAGACCCGATTCCTTGAAGGGTAATTATAATCTCTGTCATAGTGTCACTGCCTTGGGGAGTGAGAAATCAGAATAAAGCCACACGATGCTTGGGGGTGAAATATACAGTATGTCTATTAATTGTTTGCAAAATCTAAAAAGGCACATAAATTTGACTTCAACATTGAAAATATGAGTAAAGGCATAAGTTGGGGGAATTTTTTTTATTAACTGTTATCAAAATGTGTTGAAGCTGTAGGTATGACGAAAAAAAAGGGAAAAATTCCAAGAAAAACGGTAAAGAAATTAAAAAATACAAAAAAACGGCATGTATGACTCTGTCTATTAATTCTTTGCAATATGTAAACACTGATTGAAAGAAGACGAAGGAAAAACAAACGGGACATCAAAATCAAAAACGACCAGACGCGTGCTTTTCTTAAGTCTTCTTTGCAGTCATTCGTTTACAAATTTTCTTGAATTCAGTTCAGTTACTTGTGTTATTTGAAGTTTTAGCAATGCCCGGTAAGCGAACTGAAGATAATCTGATACAATTGGTTTATTTTAATTATGGCAAAGGAAAGACAGCTAAAGAGTTGGCCAATATGTTCAATATTAAGTTGAGAACAGTCTATAATATTATTCAACGTGCAGAAAAAGAAAATAGGCTGGAATTGCAGAGCTCTACCGGCAGACCAAAAAAGCTTTCTCGCCGGGATTGCTCGAAAATATTGAAAACCGTGGAAAATAAGCCGCAAACAAGCCTCAGAGAGTTGGTCAATGATATCAAAATTAATCTAAACAAGTCCGTTTGCCCTGAGACTGTGCGAAAAGTTTTAAATGTCCACAGATATTCCTCACACGTGGCAAGGAAGAAGCCGTTGCTGTCCACAGCTAATATTGAAAAACGCTTAAACTTTGCGATATTTAATGTTGACAAGCCTCCTGAGTACTGGAACGACGTGATTTTTTGTGACGAAACCAAGATCATGCTGTATTATAATGATGGGCCTGGAAAAGTTTGGCGTAAGCCGAATACAGCCATCCAGTCGAAGAACATCGATCTGTGTGTGTGGAATGCTATGAGGATAGGATTATGCAACCATTAACACTGCACGCCAGCATTTATTTTTAAGCATCAGTCACCGCACAATGGTGCAGGCCCAGCTCTAAGAGAGAATAAACACTTAGTGGGCAATTTTTGGTGGAATTATTTGTGAAGAGGCAGCAAATGTGGCCATTTGAAACTGGGGAATAGGGAAGCCTAGGGAACCGATTTACAATCAGATTAATCATTTGCCTTGAAGTGCGAACTGAAAATTTCAATCCTTTTTTGTTTCAGTTAAGTGGTTTAATGACCTTACTCTTTTTGTGATTTCCCTTAATTCCCATTTACAGTATATTACGATGCAGAAGGCTAATCTGGGGAGGGTTCTGCCGTGTAATTCGGTCAGTGGGCAACTGCCAATCCATCCAATCATCCACCAACCCCATCGACCTATTCATTCGGAATTCAGTGCGGAATTTGTTGCTACATTTAAATGGCACCAAGCTGCGCGCCATCAACCATCAAGGACCACAGGGCCTGGCTCTACTAAGCTTTTCTGCCAACTCATCTGGTTTGCTTTTTATGTTTTTGATGTGCCATGGAAATCCATTAGCATGGCAGGCAGGCAGGCCCTATACATATATGTACATAAATATGAAAACAATCTGAGTTGTAGTTAATCGTTGCATTTTAGACAGATATTCCAGTTGATAAGACCATGGAAGAACTTAATGATTTAATAATTTAAATTTGAATTTTAATAAGTACAACCCTCAACATCTACATAGATAGTAGATCCAATCAACTAATGAATGTGTCCAGCTACTTCTATTATATGGGATTCTGCAGAGAATGGCTTTATATCTTCCATCTGCCTGACACTTTGGCTCGTGCCCTGCCCCGTGTCACTTGACATTTTTTTTATCTGACCATTTGAATTTGTTGCGCATCGTTTTTCGCCCTTTCTCTCTCGCTTTTGGGGGTTAAAAATGTTGAGTTGGGGAATGCTAGAGATGGGGATCGGAATGGCTCAGACTTGAACGCATTTCCCTTTTGGGTATGGTGCCTGCCAGTCCTGCCTAAATGGAGGACACTCTTGGTGTCATTAATGAAGTCAATGGAGACAATAAGGCCGGCGTATCAGCATGGAATGGGAGGCAATGGGCGGGTCCACGGGTCAACCAAGTCAAGAAGGCGCCCACGGGCCACTTCTAACTTTATATCCTGATAGGCCCAGCCATGGACTACGCCATGGAATGACCCTTCCTCCCAGTCTTTTTCGATTTGCTATTCGTCTATTGGTTTATTTGCATTCTCCATCAATTGCTTATTAATTGTTGCCAGGCGAATGGTTATTGGAATGGGAGATCGGGGCTTGTGGCGCTGGTTAGTGGAAATTGATTTTTTCGAATTGGCTGCCATTTACAGGAAAATTCGCTTATTATCAATGTTGGGCAAAGTCACAAAGAAAAAGCCAAGCCGAATAACAATAGACAAGTTGATGGAGACACACAGAGAGAGAAAGAGAGAGAGGGAGAGAGAGAGAGAGAGAGAGAGAGGGAAAGAGAGAGCTAAGGATTGGGAGAAATAAACACGGTAACATCGGGAAGTAAGAAAGAGCAAGAAAAAGAACAAAAGTGTAGGTAACAGCAAACCAATTCGGCTCAGACGCAAAGGAATCAATCGACAAACAGCAGAAAGGGAAACAAAATCAAGCCAGAAAAAGTCGGGAAAGTCCAATCAGAACTCAGCGAACATCGATTGCTCTTACTGGGGAATATTTTTAAGCCATTGATAACAGAGCCACACAACAACTTAGTCAGTAGGGCTCTCTTCCGGCAGACGACGCTAATATTTAACGACACGACAAAAAGTGCGTGCGAGAGAGAAAGAAAATCATTCTTAAATTTGGCTAAAAATATGATGCGATCTGATCCAGATTCGGCAATCTGATAGGTATGGTTATTCTCTATTATTGTTCGTTTTTAGTTTTCTCGTATCTTCAATTTTGTGGATGCCACAGATTTTCGTCCTCTGTGGGGGCGGAGTGAGATCAGTGAGATCTAAGAGGAGTGTGGATATGAAATTTGGTTACTCTCGCCTTAATAGTCTCTGAGATTTGTGGATGCCCCAGATTTTCGTTTGAAATTGTTTTCTTGATTCTGGCTATAATAATTATACGATCTGGTTCAGGTTTTGCACTCTAAAAGATATAGTCATCCTCTACCACTCTGCGCTTTCTGTTTTCTCGTATCTTTTAAATTGCTCTTATCTTCGCTTTTTGTGGGGGTGGAAGTGGGCTGGGCGAAGTCTTGAAATATTTTTGTAACAGTGACATATCACAGAAGTCCGGATATTAAATGTAAAGGAATACCTGCAAGGTGGAAGGTGTCTATGCGAACCCGAGGGGGTCCCATAACGAATCCGGAGTGGGTGGCAAGGCAACTCCCAAAGCTGACACCTTGGAGAGGCAGCTAAGCAATACTGCGGCTGCCCGACCTTCTGGTAAAGCGGAGGGGGATGACTTGCTGTTGACAAGCGCCCAAGCCAAACGCTACCTGAAGATGGTGGAATGGGCTTCAACTGTGCTCCCGGAGTTTACTTTAGAACAGAAAAAGGTGGCTCCCCAAGCTAAGAGGCAGCGCTCGCAGGAAACACCGGGACCGGTAGAAAAGAGCTCCTGAGAGCTGCCCAATGTCGCTTTTGCGCAGATTGCCAAGGAGAGGACGCTAATTGGCGTCCTCGACAAAGGCAGCGCAGAGGGAAGGATCCCAAGGAGTCAGTGGAAGTGGGTGGAAGCGGCATTGGCCGACCGCTGCTTCGACCTACTCGACAAAGACCCAGGACAACCGCCAGTCTGCAAGTATATGAGGTTGTTGCAGGGAAACGTCAAGATAATTGCCTGCGAAGACGTGCGCTCCGTGAAGCTGTATAAAGCGGCGGTGGCGCAGGTCAGCGAGGTGTATGCTGGGGCGAAACTCGTTGCAGTCGACTGGAGCGAGGTGCCCAGCAGACCGAGGGCCAGAATTTGGGTGCCGGCTAACTTCAAAGAGCCAGAGCGCATCCTCAAGATGTTGCAGAGGTGCAACCCAGGCCTACCGACCTTGGATTGGAAGGTAGCCAAGGTTGAGACGACACAAGGTCGGACTACTCAGACGACTCGGACGCAGACATTACAGTGGTGGACAACCCTGAAGATGGTCCTAAGGATACTTCAAATCAATCTCCACCACTGTAAAGCAGCATCAGCTGCCCTCATACTCCGCTTGGACGCGAGCGGAGCAGACAGTCCTAGTCCAGGAGCCTTGGGTGGTAGGAAACAAGGTCTGTGGATTGGGGACGAAGGAATACAAGTTCATTGTATCCAAAAATGAAGGTAAGACCCGGACCTGCATACTTGCGAGAAAGCACCCAAATATCTTGCTGATCCATAATTATAGCGATGGCGATAACACGACGGCAAGCCTGGAGATAAACGGAACTCATCTCAGGCTGGTGGCGTCCTATATGGCCCACGAGGAAGATGATCCTCCCAACGACCTTGTTCGCAAAATAGCCAGCGACAGCGAAAGGACGGACAAAGATCTTCTAACAGGTTGCGATGCCAACGCCCACCACACCCAATGGGGAGCACGGACACGAATGTAAGGGGTGAGTCACTGTTCAGCTTCATCCTGGACTCAAATTTATTCATTTGCAATCAGGGCAACGACCCCACATTTATAATTAAAAATCGGCAGGAGGTTATTGACCTCACGCTAGTGTCAAACAAACTGTTAGACACAATCAAGAGCTGAAAGGTCCTAGAAGACCATTCCTTCTCGGACCACAGGTATATCGAGACGATAATATCCTTCGAGATCCCTAAACCCACCGACTATATCAACCCCAGAAAAGCCAACTGGGAAAAATATAGCACAACCCTGGAGGAACTACTCCCTGTCAACGCCCCTGAATGCCCGAACACGGAAGACGACCTAAACCGTCTTGTGAACAGGTTCACGGATGTGTGCAATAAAGCCTTCAAGGCAGCATGCCCTTCTAACAGACCAAGGGGGAAAAAGAAACCCTCTTGATG